TCTCCACCCAGATGCTCCGGGCGGCCGGGCCACGAGCGCGCCTGCGCACTACGCCTCCCAGCTAGCCCCTCGCGGAGAACTGTCCGCCTGGGACGAGCACGCGGCGCACGCGCGGGAGGGCAGCTTCAGCCGCAGGCGGGAGGCTCTTCACTCTGAGGCTGGAGAGCAGTGTTGGTCCAGTAGCTCTTCGCGATCTGTTCATGGGTAGACCCTTTTGGGGACCCAGCCCCTCCTGTTTATCCCGGGTCTGAAACACCTCCGGGAGGCAACCTTGAATTTTCCCAAAACCCAGGGTTCATCTCCCGCCCAGTCAGCAGAGGGCACACGTTTACCTGGTTCGAAGAAGGAAGCTGGGGTGGACCCCAAACCACCTGAGGTAGTGCTCACAGAGGAAGCAGGCACCTGAGTCAACCTTGGCCAGAACCCAAAGCATCTCTCTGGACCTACTGTATCTTTACTGTCCATACTGTCCAAGGCAGTAGACGTCTCCCCACTTCACACTAGGGAAACTGAGGTACACAAAACGTAAATTCTGAGGTACACAGAATGTAAACTGAAGGCAGTTTTCCAAGAATCAGGACCAGGATTGAAACCTCGAACTTTGAAAGGTACTTCCTGGCTTTCGACTCACACACACCTCTGTAAAGCCAAACTGGAGCCTGCCTACCTTTTTCAGTTGAGAAACTTGGGTTCCAATGAGAGCGTTTACCAAGTCAAGTCTGCTGTGCCAAAAAAGCAACTTCGAAGACTGGTGACAGACTTAAGAGTTTTAGATGTCAAATTCACCACAGTGAATTAAATGCATATATTAAAATAATTCTACCTTTCCAGGTAATCCAGGACCCAATGGACCTTATTGCTAAGAGATCTTAGCAGTCCAAATGACTAAGAAGAGGGACTTCTGTGCTTGAGGAGGGACCAGGTCTTAGAGGTAGCTGGTTAAATTTCCCTGCCCTACAACCAAGATGCACACTTACTGAGCACTTGCCCAGGCATGGTGCTGAGGGCTATGCATGGTCTCTCATTTAAAATTTCTTTGATATGAGTTATAAAAAATAAAAATGTCCTGAGTTGTTTTTATTCCCAATTTACAGAAGAGGAAATTAAGCCTTAGAGAAGTACCCCTTCTGGTGGTTTCACAGCAAAAAGTGGCAAACTGGGATTTGCTTTTATCTAAGGGACCTTCTTGTGTCCCCAGAGACAGTAATACATCAGTGTACCAGATTTCAAGTCTCTTGCCTCCTGATGGATGAGTGTGAAGACATCCTCCCCCAATGTAATCTTTCTTCCCTTATTCAAATTTTTTTTCAGCTGGGTTTGGTGGTGTATGCCTGTAATCTCAGCACTTGGGAGGCTGAGGCAGGAGGATCGCCAGCTAGCCTGGGCTCCATAGTGAGCTCAAGGCCAGCTGGACTAAGTAGCAAGACCCTGTCTCCAAAACACAAGAAAAAAGTTTTCCATTGAGTCACATATTTACATATATACACATCCATGTATCAACACATGGGGAGAGAAGGAGAGTCCTGAGGATTTTAATGTTCAAGCTGAAAAGCAATGATAAGAGCACATTCTCCCTATGTAGCCTGGACTAGGGCAGGTGTCTCACTAGCTGGACCTTTCATTAAATATTCTTGTTTCAGATTCAAGGTGCCTCAAAGCCCTTCCAGCAATATTCTTCTGTACTTATCAACACTCAGCTAGGAGACAGATCTTTTCTGGTTTAATCCAAGTTCCACTATCAATACCTTGGGTGGCTCATTTACTTACCTGAAAAAACATTTATCAGGGAATTACTATGTGAAAAGTGATGAGCCAGACCAACAGGGATCAAACGGTGGAATATGCTAGGCACAGAGCTTGCAGACTAGTATGGAAAAACACCTTCCACTGAGTGGCCATGTGAACGTTAGCAAGGTCCTCAACCTCCCTGTCTCTCAGGTAAGACAAGAGTGGTGCTGGAAATACCTTCTCTTCTCCCTCTCCCTCATCTCTGGCCCCAGCTGGCCCATCTCAGCCTGTTAAGAAATCCAAAGTCCACCCTCTGGCCAGGCTTATCCTGGCTGAAAACAAAATTGTTTTTTCCTTCCCTACTAGTCCTGAGAAAACAAGCTGGCTGAGGTGGTGCATGGGGGGCCAGGAGGGTGACCTTTGTCCCTGCCAGCCCCACCTGCTCCAACCCTGCAAGGCAGGCTGACCTGGGAGCATTCCTTCAGAGATGGGCAAGCTTGGGCAAGTAGGGAGGCAGGAAGTGGATTGCAGGTGGGAGGAGGCACTTCTTGCCTTCATAAGCAAAAGAAGCCCCCAGTCCCTTGCCAAAAACACATACTGCTCTGCCGCCTGCCTCGAAAGCACAAGGGCCCGAGTTCAATCCCTGTACCAAAACAACAACAACAAAACACATACTGCTGGACCACAGGACACCGGCTCTTTTCCACTGGCTCAGAACGATAGAGTGTAAGGCTTGTTTACAGCCTCAGCTTATCTGTAAAATGGTCCAGATGGAGACGAAGTATTAGAATGTATTAGAATTGCCAGGCCTTGTTCTAAATGCCTTACAGGTATTAATCTCCCAGGACAGCACTGGGAGAGCTCAGAGTTCTGCAAAAAAAAGAAAACCATAGCTGTTACCCTCTCAAACCTGCCCACCTTTGACCATGCTCTGCTGCAGTTCCCATGGCAACAATGGAATTGGAAGTCACACTCAAGAGTTGCCTGTTAATGTGCTCAGACCCTAGGCTAAGCACTTTGCTCACAATAATTCATACCTATGATGCTTCGCAAAGGGATAATTCTCAGCAGGAGCAAAAATATCTTGGCACCATGAAGGTTTGCAAAAAACTATGGCCCCTCCAAGTGACCATATGATCCTGCCAAGGCAGGAAAGAGGTTGAAGCTTCCACTTCCTGTGAAGAGAGGCCTTCTGCCAGGACTAAGCAGCCCGTCTAGACGAGGAGAACACTCAGTGTGTTTCCAGCTCATCTTCAGAGCCTGATCCTTCACCAACCCTCTAAGCTATCTACGTCTCACATTACCTATCTCTCTACCCTGGAACCTTTCAAGTGCTGTCCACCAGCCCTACATTATCCTTCCATCAGCCCCTGAAGAGACTCTGGCGGGGTTCAGAGGTCCTAGCAGGGCTCCACAGAGCATTGCAGAGTGCTCCCCAAATCCTGATATCTACCTTACTGGAACTGAACCTGCCAGCCACAATCTGGTCTCCACACTCTCATGACTACAGCGATCGTGATTCAGGACAACCGACCAGATCTATTATGAACCTTCAGTGGTCCTAAATCTACTTCTAAGGCCTGTGCTTGCTTCCTTAGGGTGCTTTCTATACAAGCAGCATTACTTTTGTGCTTGGGATTTCTGACAGACATTCCTCTCCACCTTGCCGAGCCTAGTTGTGCTCTTCTACAGTCCAGTCACGTCAAAGCCAGGCACAGAGGTAAAGGCCAACAGTTAAATTGCGGCCAAAGATAGCAATTGGGCTCAGGAAACACAAGGAATCGGGCCAAGGTCACGCAGAATAAGACGCCCACAGGCCCTGCCACTGACTGTCACGGCCACGGCCGCCGCCGCCCCAACCCAGCCTCTCAACCTCTCCCACCCGCTACGTCAACCGGAAGTGGCATGTGCGGGGCTGTAAACACAACCCGCAACGCCCCACCCCCGCTTCCAGCCCCGCCCCCGTCTGCCATGTGACGTGTCCCCGCCCGCCCTCGCCGCCGTCTCATTGGGCTGCCAGCTTTGTTTACCTTATATGGCCAGGTCCTAACACCCCGCGGTAGCACATTGGTTGAGGCACGGCCTCTCTCAGCTGAGGTCACCCGGGACGAGCGATGCAAATAAACCGGGGCATTCTGGGAAAGTAAGTCCAGAGCGGCTCCGGAACTGGCTCCGCGCGGTCCTAGCTACCCCACGCTCTGAGCCCGGTTTTGTGGCAAAGAGCGCAAGCTGTTGCGTGGGAAAGTGGGTACTGCAGGGAGGGGGACCCCAAAACTCCAGAAGCTGTTGGCCTCGTCTGCCTATCCCAGGTGTCGTCTTCATCTCGAGACGCTCCTCCTTTCTGGCTGGCCGAGCGCAAGACTGGGAAAGGGTAGCGAGTGTGCTGTGGGGGGGGGCCTTCGAAGCCTTCCTGGAGGCGGTGACTTTTGGCAGCGCCTTGAAGGGCCGGCTCTCTAATTCACTGAACGATATTTATTGGCGCCTTCTGCAGCGGATATGGGCCAGAATTCCTGGTGTTCCCCCTCCTCTGGGGGCTACAGGGTCCTCAAAGCCCAGAA